CCATTCCCTACAAAACGAAGGAAACAGCTCTAAAAACATAGTTTAACTGTAAGTAACAGCGTGTCAGCACGTTTAATACACGTGCCGAAAGTAATTTTGAGTACTTAGCTTCTTCCTGTGTTTTTTTTTTATCTTAACTGATAACTCCTAAACATTAATTTGATAGATTTTTCAATGTAGATCAGCATCACTGGTTGAACTGTTGATCCGGCTGTTCAAAGGTAGTCAGTAAGATATTTACATGACAGGTAGATAGCCAGGTGATATGTTTTCAACCTGAAGATTGAACACAGCCTCTCTTACCTTCTAGGATAGCTGGCATGCAGTTTTCCTGGACAGCAGTGGGTTTGTTGATTCCCAGCTGTTTACACTGCTTAATGAGCCAGTCTGAGAGCCCCAGCGACGAAAAGTCACCCATGTCTGATTTGTATCCTTCCTCGAGGCTTGGGGACTATTTCTGTGTAGAGTATAAAACAAAACAACCACCAAAATACTCTATTTTAATGTTCAGTAAAACATCCTCGTGCGTTAAATCGACGGTCGCCGTATTACTACGTCAACAACGCGACGTCTTATCCTTCCTCTGCAGGCTGGCGGAGTGGAGGTGCGTGCTGCCGCCCTCTGCTGGTCAAACGCTGACGCACTGTAGTCACTGTTGGAAATACTCAGAAATACTGATCCCACCGTCATGTGATCTATCCACGAGCCTTCCCCAATCCCCATAGTTTACATAGGTTAGTATTTGAATAGGGTCACATGTTATAAGTTGATATAGTGTGCACTGTGTAGGTCATGTCTTGTCTGCAGAGCCCTGACACCGTGCCTGTCAATATTAGATAAACTAACTAGCCTTTTATCTACTTAATCAACCCACTTGGGGCAAAAACGAGTTGTTGTCCCCCACTGACAATCCCACCGCCACCTCTCATCTGCATTGTGTGTGTATTCTGCACCTTTGAACATGCAAATTGAACAGATTATTTGAGCACAACATAAGCTAAAATAAAGCCGGCCTTAAAACTAGTGTTTGGTGCCCGGGGTCCCTCTACAAGACAGGGCATCAGAGTTAGGTAACAGTACTGGATTTATAGGCTCTTATCATTTCAAATTCAGCTGATGTTGAGATTGTTGTGATTTAAAGCTGCATATTCACAAAATAAAATTCAAGGAATCAAATGACCACAGACCATTCACACACTGGGGCCTTTGGGACAATTTCCAGTTTTTGTAATTTGGTAATCCAGCCCTGATCAGAGCTAATGGCTCACATGTTATGATGTAACACTGGGCACCCAGAATAACACAACTGTTTACTCTAAATCCGATCTGGCTTTGTTTATTCCACAAGCAGCAGTAAAATCAAAGCATAAGGCTTTTTCGGGGCCAAATTGTCATCACCCACAGGATCACAGGCTCAGTCCTGAAGCCGGCTTACCTACTGATCACCTCCTTATATCTGCACACAGTTTGCCAGTTTGTTTGGACACTCATGACCTGCTCCTTGCTTCCTGACTATAGCACCTACACTGATAGATCGGTATGGATAATATCATATGTCATTAACATTATTGATGACATATGATGAATGAAGATTCTCCTTTTGCATGAATGGATGAGACAGATTATAATAAGAAAGTCGCACAAACTCCAGAGGAATTGTTGTATTTGTGATACATTTACATTTAAAATATTTCAGGCAAAGGAAATGTAAAAGACACATTTATATTGCTCAGTTGCTCTTCTGTGTACTTTTTTACTATGAAAATGGCCTTTCAGCCATTTGACAGAGATTGCCTCCTAAAGTCTCAGCATTCATATTTTGATGATAAGGTAAAACAGACTCCATGTGGCAGACAAATCAAATTTGAGTCATGCTGTTATTTAATGGTCTGTGTTCCCCATGTGACTAATGACCACCAAGATGTGAAAAAAATCATAAAAATCATATTTTTTTTAATCTTCTCCTCACATAATTTTAGCCTGTGAATTCCTTTTGCTAATGCAGCTCGTAATTGTACCATGAAAATTTTTGCATCAGCCTGAAAATGTCACTGAGCTTTATTCAGCAATTATCTGAAGCAGTCTCCTGTGAGCCTTGAACTTAAACCTTGCGCTCTGACTAGCTCTCTGTGTTTTCCCGCTGCTCAGGCGCTGAGTCTCGTTCCTCCAGCTGAGCTGAAATCATTGAGGCTGAAGCACCTTCTGATTTTAACAAAGTCTCAATCAACACACACACACACACACACACACACACACACACACACACACACACATGAAACAGGATGTTTCAGTTTTAATACCCTCTTCTTAAGTTGCAACATTTATGCTTTTAATGTTCTGAAATGAAAAAAAGGACAACTTAATATTCATGGTCTGGTAGTTAGAGCTTCACTTTGGCTTTGATACCAAGAATTTGGCTTTAAAGGGGTCAGATTGGATAAATGTTATAAACTATTGTTGAAGTTTCACATCCAAATTTCTGCTTCTGGAGAAAAGAAATACAGAATGACCTCACATGTTGACAGATCTTCAGGATTTATAGAGATACACTGGCTCAGGCTCAGCTGTAATGTTGACACTTGTTACACAACAATGGTATGACAACAGTTTGTATGAAAAGATTGTTGATTTTATGGTGGGAACGTTTCAGTGGCTATTTTGTTATGTTTTGATTTTTGCTCACTAATAAAATAAGTAAATGTCAGTTCCACCTCCTTCTCTCCAAACCTCTGATTTCCTTATTGATTTGATTTTTATGCTTCTTTTTCAACTGCCGAACTAAACTCATCCAGGATGTTGGATGTTAGACACTGAGCTGTTGTTTTTTTCCTTACTTCCTGCATTTATTAGGAAACATGCTGTTTCTTATGAGGTAAATACAGAGTATCCTGGAGGACAGAACTAACAGGACTAACACATCACTGTTGCACCATCATGGATGAGGTTTTAATTTCCCAAATGTTATATTAACAAAGGGAGATAATGCAGCTCAAAGCACTGGAATGATGCGTTCACAGGTTGATCGAGACATCTGAAAATTGAGTGTGGACAGCTGAAAAGCATTCATGAACCATGATGTCAGAAAAACTGAAAAGGTGAATGCCAAAGGACACTGTTCCTGTCTCAGTGTCTTTCATCTTCAGCTTCTACGCCTTTATGTCAGAGCTTACAATAAACATGTTTGTGTTTTCAACAGTTAACACTAAATAAAACTGCAGATTTTTATTGTACTTTTGTTTCTCAAACTAAAGTTCAGACATTGAGATTAAATTCAAAAGAGCTTCTTTGGAAATGGTGACCATTTGAGCTTTGAATCTCTGTCTAGACTCTGTTTGTAGTGCAGATGATGCCTTGTTTGTCTCTTCATGCAGCCAGGTTTTTGTCTTTGTGTCCCACCTGCCGCAGTGAGCGTGAAGAAGATACAATGCGCTTGATTCGGCCACAGCTTGACTGGAAAGGGAGAGAAATCTTCACCGTGAAGATCCATCTGTGTCCGCACACAGGGCTGCCAGAGGTGATTAATGCCATGCGTGTTACAGGCAGAGGCCTGGAGGTTCAGCTCTGTCCTGCCCAGGCCGTCCAGCTGTGCTGCAAACTGCCTCGGACCGGTTGAGAAGTGTCTTTCTACACGAACACGAGGGTTGTTTGCATGTAAGGCACAGATCTGATGTTCCCTGCTGCCTCCCTGCAGCACAGAGGAGCAGTCAGCTGCATTGCTGTAACAGGCCACTGAGCAGCACCATTAGTGCACAGGAGCTGCTCCCATCGCTCTTCCACTACATTTGATGCTCCACTCTCCCATGCTCAGCCCATACTCATGCAAATCAGAGCTTTATTTTAAATCAGCGATGAATCCAAACCAAGAGTTAATGAGGTGAAGAGCAGCTCTTTCTAAGCATGTTGCCATGTGATTTTCACCAGTTTTAGAGGGAAGTCTGTGAAGCTTTAATAGGGAGAAATAAATGGGTGTCTTGTCTTTTTTTCTTTTTTTTTTTTTTAAAACCAATTAGCAACTCCAAGAAAGTTTTACACTTTCCAAAAACACCAAAAATAACTCAGAATCCTCCCCTAGTTTATGGCATTTTATACATTCATTTTATATGATTTTATATTTTATATGTCCATGTGTGTGAATTCACATATATACTTTTGACCAAACTAACGTTAAAGTTGGAATTGTGAAGAAAATTAAAATGGCTTCAAAACAAAAAAAAAAAGGGGGGGGGGTCAGTTTTCAGAAAAACCATGAAGAGGAAGTTCAGGAGTGAGAACATGATTATTGATGCAGTATTTTAGAAACAGGTTTGATGTATTAATCAGGTTCATTAAAGTTCTGTTTAAAGAAATACCTTTAGTATCTCTAATATGATGTGACTTTCAGAGAGATGAAGGCAGGCTTTTGATGACATAATCATTGCTATGGAATATGCTCATTGTATGAATACATAATATCCCTGTAGCAAATGTAGCACAGTAAGTTTATCGACCTTTATGGTATTTTTACAATCCGATTTCCAGTCTTGTAATTGTTCCTATCCCATCATCAGGAAGATACTTAACGTTTCCTTTTGATTATACATCATGGTGTTTGATAGGATTGACATATAAAAAGCTTTATTCTGAATATTGTCTGGTTTAACGTGAGAGCAACGCAGACAGCTGCGGGATTGTACTGTACATCTGACTGACTGTTTGCTGAAGCTTTGTTGTAAACAGCCATTTGGCTTCTGCACTTCATTTCAGATGTTTCAAGCTTTTATTGAGCTGTAGCTCATAAATACGCACCGAGGGGGCTTTTAAGACCGTGCGCAGGCCATTTCCACATATTATGTTTCACATTCTGACATTTAAGTGGGAATCAGGAGGAGGAGGAGTAGGAGGAGGGGGAGGGGGCTGGGTTGCAGTTTGCATTGTGGCCATCAGGCGGCGCTGAAGAGGCTCCACGGTCCCACCGAGAGAGTTGAATGGGATCCCAGTGTGATCTGGCACAGAGGCGGGAGGGGAGCGTAGCACAAGTATCGGAGAAGGTTTGAGTCATAACTACTCTGCTGCACGACTTTCATCGACATTCCTCAGTCTGTCCTGCCCGCAGAGCAGAGCCAAAAGGTTTCACGGTGCGTAATTACGCACGGAGACGACAGATCCGCGGTGTTGCTCGCCGTGGACACCCGCGGACAAAGGAAGGCAAGCAGGGGCTGGAGTACAACAACTGACTTGAGGGGAGAGGAGTACTGTTGGAGGGGGAACAGGAGAATCTGGAATCGGAAGTGATTTGTCTTTTTTTTTTCCCCTAGAAATGTGACTTACGTCCAGGATTGGAGGGAAAAAAATAATTAGTTTGGAGCCCGAGGAGAAAAGGACAAAAAGAGTTACTGAGTGGAATCTTTCCTCAGAACAGCATCCAGATCCTCGGAGCATGGGGTAAGTTGGAGATTTGTGTCTGAAATGTACAATGTTCGTTCACTCCTGCTGACTGGAGCCGATTTGTTCAAATGGCGAAAAGCTTCAAAAGTGAACTTTGTGGTGACTTCTGAGCGTGTGGCGGTTTGATCGGTTAGACAGCACAATTTCTTTTCGCTTTAAAGCATTTTGGAGAAGTCAACCAGAATCAGTTCCCATGTGACACCGCGCTGTGTGCTCTGTTTACATTCTGATGGATTTTACCGATACAAAATCTTTTATTTGTGAACCGTAGAGCCTGACCCAGTTTCACCAGAAGTCTGAATGACAGCTGCGGCCGTCAGAAGGTCGAATATCCACGTTGAGAGATCTTGGCTGTTTTAGATTTGACCTGATGCACAGACGGTTTAGTTAAAATTGACTGTGACATTTTTACTGGTCATGTGATGAAACACACACACACACACACACACACACACACACACACACACACACACACACACAGGTCACTCATTCATCCTTCAGTTATTGTGATTTCCTGTTCTCTGCTCTTTGAATCAGCCACACACACACACACACACACACACACACACACACACACACACACACACACACACACACACACACAGAGCAAAGAACTTGGACCGCTTCCAGGATGATTGTTGTGCAGGAGGATTCTGGGTGGTGGGTTTGCTTTGAGAAGCTCTTGGTGTCAAGCTGTGTTCAGTCTCATTAACTGTGTGTGTGTGAGTGTGTGTGTGATGAATTATACATGCAGGCTTTCAGCTTGGTTAAAACACACCTGAGCCCTCCTCACATTACCAGTCCTTGCTGTCCGCCGCCCCCCTCTATGTCAGAGTAGTGACATAGTACAGTAGTGTATCTGTTATCTTTATTAAGGTTTGGCTGATATGTTTATTCAAAGACCATTATTAATACACTTTTGCAATTTTATACTCTACTTTTATACTCCCTTTTCAAAGTGACAGTGAAAAGAAATTTACATTCTGGGGGAAATTAAAAAAGGTTGTGATACACATTTCGCTATCAGACCATAACATGTTTTAATGCTGTTTCATTTCGATCTTATAGTCTGTTCATTTAAAACTTTGACTACTTCTGAAGGTGTCACAGTTTTCCAGACCAGTAAAACTACACAGTGATGCAGCATCATGTTGGTGCTCACCTGTTTACTGTCCAAAATGCATCCACAGCTGCATCACAAACCAGTGGGTGGATCCCTCACTGGACACCGTCCACAGTGATGCGTCCTTCAAATGTCCTTAAGGCCAAGCTGAACCTGAGACACAGAAACTGATGGTGCATTCAGGGAGTCCTTTTCCAAATTGACATCACAAGCTTGATAACTGAAACCGTCTCTCTCTCAGTCTGGTTCTATGTCCCAAACCTACAAGGACTGACGAACTTTGTTTGTACTAAGTATTTGAGAAGTGACTGCAGGCAGCTCTTGAGCACCTGAGCACCCAAACTCTCAGTTGTCTCAACGAATGGATCTTTTGAGCAACTTGTAACTTCACTCAAACTCTTAACTCTCCATTCTCCATCATATTGCACCACTTGTGTGCCGTGTCCCATTTGTATGCAGACTGTTTGGGACACACCACAAAGAGTGGATGTCGTTCTGGCACTGTGCCACACGTAGAGCGCTTCAGGTCTGGACTGTGCGCCCCCTCAAATGATGTCAGTGGCGCGCCAGCACTCACGTGGACCTGCTGTGCAACATCCGTGACAGTATAAAAGCTTCCAGTTTGACACTAGGCTTGAAACAAACGACCGCTCTGTTTTCCGATGTCATGTGTTTGATGCCCTAACTGAGCATCAACGCTGCATCGCTGTCTGCTGCGAAAAAGGCAGCAGAGTCCAATCACCTTGTCCAAATAAAAACCAGAAAGCACCTGGTTTTAAGTAATGCCTGACAGAGACGGCCTGCAGCTCTTCTCCCCTCTTGACAGACAGTGAACAGTGGGAGAATCTTGATAAACAGCCACTTCCATGTCCACAAACAAAATGAGTTGCACAGGTGCTGCTCCCATGCTGTGAACACCTTGTCTCAAAGTACTTGTCCATATCATCCGATCCCCTGTAGGTCCATGTACAAATCGAACATATAATTTGATATGACGGAAATTTTTTTCTGTGACAGGCTGCCGACAAAACAAAATGTTGTCGTTCATCCTGTGAAGTTCCATATTCATCAGAAACCTACGACCAACTTAACGCCGATACAAAGTTGCAAGTAGTTAAAGAGGGCCACCTGAATGCACCATGAAATAATGTGCGATTGATTATGGGATGATGAGGGAGGTTGTGTCTCCTAATTAGCTCCATTTCTTGGCCACATTTGGAGGAGAGCCATTTTCTTGACTCTTGATTACTTTCAGTATTTGGGTCATCAATGTGGGTGTTAATGTGGCAGCCTCAAAAAGCTTCCAGTGTGACCACTATGTTAAGGCGCCATCTTTAAGTGGAGCCGTGATGTCAGCGTTATTCTTTGACTGTCTCACATGGTTGGTGTTTTTATATTGAAATTGTTTATTTTTATATCGGTTTTTACAGGTTTCTACAAACTTTAGCGTAACTGAAGTGCATGCTGTGCAGCTGTGTAGAAGATTTTCACTTTTGGATTGGCAGTGGGTATAAGCAGATGCTCCGTACTTAAATAACTCACATCAGGGAATAAAACTTGATTGGAGTGTCCCTAAATAATGTCTAACAACCTCCACAGGTTCATTGTTTCACTTTGTAACTCGGATCCTCTTTCCTCTCGTCCTGCTGCAGAGGAGTTGTCTGCGAGCTGTAAAATGTACCCGCTACATCGAGAGAGGTACAAACACCCCGTTGTGTCTGTGTTGTGGCTCTGCATGGCAGGGATGGGCGATACGCAATGATGCTGAGCATCAGATCACTGTTATTGATACCTAAGATCAGCAAAATCTTGCAGAAATGCCGGCAAAGACCGGGGTATTTATTCATATTTAATTAGTGTGGTGGGTTTACAGTAGATGTCATTTGGCTGAAATTACAAGGCAAGTGTAAAACTTACTGAACATTAATGTAGGAATCACTGTCAAATTTCAAATGGGGAAGCTTTTAATGCAAAGCCAACATTACATGAGGAAACTGAGAAAGAGCTTTTGTGCATAAATGCAAATATCTGTACTATTGATACTTTGGGGATCAATACGCCCATCCCTACGTCATCAATCATTTAGTTGCTTCCGAACAAAATCCACCTTCATCACGTCCCCATGATGTTTATCCTCCCTCAGTGTGTGTGGAAACCGTAGCTGTACTGTTGACTGTGAGATCTGATTCACACAGCGGAGGTTTCATGCTTGTCATACTGTGCAGATGTTGTCAGCACAATCTCCTCCTCTAACTGTCGTCGCCTGGTGTCTCTTTCATCACATCGTCCTCCTGTCACTTGCTCCATTGCAGCTCAACTGCTCCATATACTTTTGGATTGTTGTGCATTGTATTTTTTTTGCAAGATCTTGGTGTGTTTTGCATGCCAAACCTTAATGTTCGAAATAACCACAGCTGTCAAACACATGCAGTGGAGTGTGAAATCTAGCGTTTCCCTCTGACATGAAGTGGATTCAAAGTATAACATCACAAAATGGAAATCCCAGAGGGACGACAGAGCCAATACCTCCACTGACCCACAGTGGGTTTGTGCTGTAAAATGCAGCTTTCAGTCGCCTTTTAAGCCGTCCAGAGATTGATACTGAAAAGGTGGAGTATCACATCAACTAAAAGAAGTGTTAAAACATTCTTCATTCACATTTCTGAGCACATTCGCCGAGAGATACTGCTGTGACTCTCCACAAGGGAGAGGAGTTTAGATTTCACAGCTGCACCGTTTATTCACCCGACAGAAAATTGACCTGCAACTATTTTGATAAACAGTTAAAGCAAAAATGCCAAATATTCTCTGGTGTCAGATTCTCAAATGTGAATATTTGGTGTTTTTCTTTGTCACATACGATATTAATCTGGATATCTTTGGGTTGTGGACTGAAAAGAAAAGCCGCTGACGGGATCCTGAAAGTGGCCAAATATACCAAGAATGTTGCTAATTTGGCAACACTGCGGCTACAGCCGGTTGGGTAAGTTTAGACTTTGTATGTAAAAACGTAAAAATGTAAAAACCTCAAACTGAGTTGAGCTGCGTTACATTCTTGACAAAAACCAGTAGTTCACCACAAAATAGATCACAGTTTCCCCTAAAACTGCAAAATGATCATTTTTTATCATGTTTGTGTGTGCATTAAAGAAATGATTCTTAACATGTTCATTAGTGAACATGAAAGGTTTTAGTTGGCTTATTATTGTAATTTCAACTGTTTCCTTCGAACAGCTGAACCGAGCTGTTTCCATGCTTCTAAAGTGAATAAACCTTAAAAATGCTGATCTAGTCCCTGAACCTTGAAATCTGTGGTAACGTCTCGGTGGAGCCTCCCTCTACAGCACAGGCGACGACTACGCTTCGGTTTCACTGGGATCACGATCGGTTAATCTGCAGCATCACACCGTTTAAAAAAAAGTATTCTGCGTCTGCATCCTCCCACTGGCCGAGGAGAAACCAGCTGCTCTGTGTGTGTGTGTGTGTGTGTGTGTGTGTGTGTGTGTGTGTGTGTGTGTGTGTGATGTGTTGTTGTGTGTGTGTGTGTTGGTGTGTGTGTGTGTGTGTGTGTGTGGGGTGGGGGGCCTTCTTAATTGCTGTTATGGAGACATCTGCAATTGAATGAATAAACAGTCGTATCTCTCTCTATTCACTTAATTTCACTGTGTTTTATTGGCATGAAAGTGAATAACTGCCACCGGAGGACTGAGATGAAAGATCAGCTCTCTCTCTCTCTCTCTCTCTCTCTCTCTCTCTCTATCTCTCTATCTCTGTCTCTGTCTGCCTCTCTCTCTGTCTCTCTCTCTCTCTCTCTCTCTCTCTCTCTCTCTCTCTCTCTCTCTCTCTCTCTCTCTCTCTATCTCTGTCTCTGTCTCTGTCTGTCTCTCCTTGACCTTCATATCGTTAATACAGAAAGCACTCTGGCTTTGTGTCACCTTCACAATACCCAGACAGCAGTAAGTTTATCACTCCGACTCCTGCAAGAGGAGCCGACCTTCAGATAAGTGAAGAGCCGTGCTGTCGTTTAAACACAACCAGAGCATTTTTTTTTCCCCCAAATGTTTTGGCAGTTATAGAGGCTTGTGGTCGTGTGGTGAGGTGTGTTCTTGTAAATCAGAGAAGCAAAGAGATGCATGGTGAGTTGGTCAACATCGTCTGATCAAAGAGAATGTAAAACTCACAACCATAATCCTTGTTTTACTCCAAAGCTTTCCTCACTTTGTGCCAGAGTGCGTGTGTTAGGTTGTGGTTCGTGCTGCAGATACGGTGACTTGTTGAGCTGCTACAGTGTGAGTTAGCGTTTCCCCTTGCTGTGCTATTTTGGTATGTAGTTGTAGCGTGTCATGTTGCCCGACTGGGCCAGACACTTTCGCTTGCTCAGGAATGTGGACACGAGGCCGCCGGCTCAAGGAGGTCAGAGGAAGTAGAACCTGAAAAGGAGAAATACTTTCAGAGCAACAAAGAGAAAAAAGGGCTTTTCCCATTTCTGTAAAGCCTAAAGTCCCCGGGGGCTGTGAAACCACAGTAGAGTTCCAGTTGTGTGTTGTCTTAATGCACAGAGGGGGAAACGTGATGCTCTCCTTTAGAATGAATTTGACTCCTTTCAGATGGATGCAGAAACCAGGTCAAACACAAGCTTAGGGGTCAACACTTGCTATTCAAGCTGACAGGCCGAACATGAGTTTCTTATGATAATTTCAGGATTATTATACAACTGTTGGAAGTTTTGCTCTTCTCAGTTGGAAAGATACTTGAATCTGAATATCTGATAATCTGATATGAAGTTGTTGCAGGAATGGAAATGAAATAAAGTGTCATCAGACCATGTGCAGTCTGTGTTTACGTCTCCAGTGTAACAGCAATAATGCAAAGCTGACAGCTCAGTTAAAGAATAGATTCACTTCTTTTTTTTTCAACTTTGTCTTAAAATAATTCTCACATTGAAACATTTGGTCTCCTGTCACACTGGCTGTGTAGAGATCATCCCTTCCTAAAGTGATTTTAATTTAAGTAATCAGGGATAAGTCCTTGACCAGACAGTCCTTGTCTTTTAGTCTTATAGTGAAATATTCCCTCTTTGTGTCACTATCTCTTCACTGCAGCTCAGCAAAGAAACACTGTCTGTTGAAAAGAAAAGAGGACATTTTAAATTAACTAAAAAAAAAAAACCCACTTTATACGATAAAGTCTAACTGAAGATTCATCTTAACTTGAACTGAAAGAATGCTGCATTACTTACATTAACATCTAGTTAATAAGGGATCTCTTCACAGTCAGTGTGGACAGGATGAATGATGATGAACTTGTCCTTGAACTGAGGTTTCTTACATTTCTCCCTGCTGAAGTTTTGAGGGTCTAAGGACAGAGGGTGTTGTATTCTGTACATATTGTAAAACCCCGTGAGGCAAATTTGTGATTTGCGATAGTGAGATATTAAAACTGGCATGACTTTGTGCTCAGGGAACAAAACATATTCAGGGAAAAACAGCAAATCATCACAGCTGAGAAGCTGGAGTCAGTGATTGTTTGGCATTTATGCTTGATGAAAGATGATCATATTATCAAAATAACTGTTAATTTTCTGCCATTTGACCAATTGACTTATAGACTAATTGTTTCAGCCTTAAATTAAATACAGGATTTGTGAGTGAAAGTTGTTTAACAGCCGAGAAGAAACTCAAGCTTGACCTTGGAATAACATTATATTTAGATTATGAGCATCAAAACTTTAGTTCTTTTTTTCCAGTGGGAGAAATGATACTGTCCTGCGCTGTGGTGCACTTCCATGGTCACATAACTACAAATGCAAGATCAGCTGACATTTTTTTTTTACTGCGTCTTTGGCACAAAGACAGTTCAGCCAACCAAAACATTATTTTTACATTTCTCTTTCTCTGAAGATTCGCAGATGCACGGAAGTGAAAGTCACAGAAATTCAAAGGCCTACAAATCTATGAAGAAAGTTGAAGAGTGAGATAAGAGAGAAACAGCAGCTGGACACCTGGATGTGTGTATGGTCATTTGCATACATCTTTATATGGGGGTGTTTCATGCTCTCACTGTGACCCTTTATTAACCTCTTTGTTATATCCTCCCATATCAGACGGTCTGCAGGTTTTCTGATTTGCCATTTAAACTGAGATACATTGGCTTTTAGGATTTTTGGCAGTGGGTTTTACAGCTTCACTCTCCCCCTAGGCCATTTACAGCCCACAGAGCTTATAGTGCTCCATTATTGGCAGTTTGAGGAGTATTTTCTCAACTACAGAAGCGACCGGTGGAGTCTGACCGTAGGGCCGAACAGGAGGATGCAGCTTCTGTTTCACAGCTTTGCAGCTTCACAGATCAGGGATTCTGGGTGGGGAATGGGTGCTGGGGTTAAAAGAGAGATAAAGGGAGCAGCAAGAGAGGATTAAAAAGTGATGAGTTGGGGTGAAGACGTGGTGTATGTGAGTGTCTGTGTGAAGGCAGCGAGACAATGAACAAGAAATATGTTTTAAAACGTTCTATCCCAAGGGCCACAGAGCATTTTCTTCATTTTTATGGTTGTACACTTGTCAAAAATGGAGATATCAGCATCAAAGTGTGGGAATATTTAAACGGGTATAAGTGAAAGTATTTTTTCTCATTTTGACATCAAATTTCACCCAACTTACAATGGTTTAAAAATGACTAATAATACACCTGGTATGGGCATT